ACTTGTGGATTCAGGTAATCACATGTCAATATCTCTCACTTTCAGGTGTGTGACGCCGACTGCCGGATAATGTGCTTCGACCCACGGTATCCCGGGTCGGTGCACGACTCCTTCGTGTGGCAATTTTCCTGGCTCCGAAACCAACTCGAGCAAGGGCAGGTGCCACGCGACGGCCGGTTCCTGCTTGGTGAGCATACTAAATTCATTCCTTACGCACACGGTGGCTCCCACTGCTTGAAAGCCACAGTACCACACATACTGTGCTTGTTGTGAGGCACACAGACACAGTTGCTGGAACTCCTTGAAGTGAGACAACACCCAAAGTTTGGCCATTAATCTCTGTTTATGTCCACATAACTCTCACACTCTGCAGGCTACGAAAGCCACACTACACCAATCTCACGACAGTGATAGACTATGCAAGGCATGCGACCGCAGTGCGAGTCGATGTCCGGTTCGGCCCACTCACTGTTACTGTCTGCCTGTACCCTCTTGCTGGTTGGTTTTTGCGTGAAGTTGGAGCTCTTTCACTGATACCTGGGGGCTCGCCTGGTCGCTTTGACGGTCGTCAGTTTGTACGGAATGGCATCAATTCCTCCTTGGCCACTTGGGGCTCGCCAAATCTGTCCTCGGGTCGTCTCTGTCCCACACACTGGATTCTTTTCCCTGACCCTTCTTCTTCGGTCTGCTTATATAGCTCCTCCTATTAGACCCTCCGTGTCCCAACAGGACCTGACTCCTTTCCAATCTAACCACCCCCTCTCTTTTCCCCATCTCCAACCCCACCGAGGATTAGGAAAGAGGTTCGTCGAACTGGCGCCTTATCCCCTTGCTTGCCAAAGACAAGGCCAGCGTGTTCTGCTCTGCCCGTGCCTAAGGTCACGGCCACACTCCCAAAAGCAACAGAGCTGTTATCTGTCGGATGCAAGGGCCTAATAATGCACTTGCATACAACACAGCACCCCTAAGGAATCGTGCACACATCCCATACAACCCACCAGGAAAACATATAGTTACATGAAATAACAGGGAGTTTGCAGGCAAGCTGGTGCTAATTAAATATAATGTAAACTGATACTGTAGTGCAGAAATATTAACACACTTTTAAGCCCCACTTAAGTTACATTATAATTGACTGTTTTCTTGCCTTTTATTTTAAAATGTAAAGAATGTAATATGTTCCATCCTCTACATGTGCAGGTGACAGCGGCTACCCCTTGGAGCCTTGGCTCATCACCCCTGTCCCCGGGAACCACGCGACCTCCACCGCTTGCGGCCGGTTTAATAAGGCGCATTCCTCGATCAGGTCTGTTGTGGAGCGCTGCATCGGGCTGTTGAAAAACAGATTCCGGTGTCTGCAAAGGCACCGGGCTCTGTATTACCACCCTTCAACAGCCACCGCCATTATTTCGGCATGTGCAGTGCCCCACAACATCTGCCTTGCATCGAGCGAGCCAGAACCGGAATCAGACTCCGACCCTGAAGAGTCAGAGTTGGAGTCTGAGCCGAGCTCGGACGGTTCTGAGCCGAGCTCGGAGAGGTCAGCGTCGGCTCCCGAGAGGCTGGCTCCTGCTGGCCCTCCGGTTGGCCTTCCGGTCGGCCTCTCGGACAGGGGGGAGGCTCTGAGGCAGCGCCTTGTCGCCCGGTTCGGAACCCGCCGCAGACGTGCCCGTGCGGAGTGCCACACGCAAGGGGTCCGCCGCCACGACGGTAGTCCCGACCACCATGGACACCGTCGGGAAGCCCCTCAGCGCCCTCGCTGCGGTGGTGCCCAGCACGGACGCCGCCAGCGACAGGGAACCTCTCGCCACCACGACTGAGGTCCTGACCACCAAGGACCCCGTCACATCCTTGCCCTCAGTGAAGCCCTCCCCGTGGAAGCCGTAAAGTGCACACTTCGCTTCCTGCTCCACAGTCATGGCCGTCCACAAGCTGCATACTCTCTTCAGCTCCTACACCTTGTGAAGTTCGTCGCACAGCCAGCGTGCTGCCTCCGGATACGTGTCGAGTGCATCGCGGTGAAATCGATACAGCCTTTTTTTTATTTTTATGAGCAGAAGGCACGAGACGCAGTCGACAGTGACAGAAAAGGTTCGGAGGTTTAGTTGCCAGACCAACAGGTCATCTGGATTGCCCCTGCAAAGAACTCAGAAGTAATTTAGACTACCAGTAGAAAGAAATGCTTGTTTTTGCAGAGATTCCCTATTGAAAAATCCACCAGCCCGGGTCTGGTGTGTTTCTGTCGTTTACATCAGAGCGGAAATTCAGACACGGGTCTTGGCGTGTTCTGGTGTCCTGGTGTGTTCTAGTGTGCTGACGTGTTCTAGAATCCTGACGTGTTCTAGTGTCTTGACGTGTTCTAGTGTCTTGGCGTGTTCTGATGTGATCCGGCCGACCTAGTGTCTTCTGGGGTGACCTGGTCATGGATGCACAATATAATTTAGATGCAGAAAGACTGCTGATGACAACAGCTAGCAAATTGTGCAAAAAGACTGCTAATTTTTTGCAGGTTTAGGTGTTCATTCTGCCATGAAACAAAACTACAAAGACAAAGAGAATGGAACTTACTATTTTATTTTTTTCCCAACATGCACCACTCGCAAACATTCTCATGCAGACTGGGCTGTCGATGGCTCTTCCATGCCACTTTTGCCAGCACATCTGGCTGGCTAAGATGATGGCTTCGGCAAGTCGGTATTGCGTAATAAAACCTGCAGTGCATAAAAAGAAATACACGAGCAGTTATTCCTAAAAAAAAACTCAAAATAAACATGTCCTGTCGAGCCTGATAATCAGTCAATTTATCACTCGGCCCGCCCTCCCACGTTCTATCTGATTTCGCCTACCTGTGGGCAACATGATACAGTCAAACCTGACTATATCAAACTCTCAAAAAACCGTCTACCACTTTGATATAGTGGGCAATTCTCTATAGAAGTTTTAATGAATTTGACAACGAACAAGCACGCCACATTTAGAAAAGTTGTTCAGGCTCGAAGGGGCATCTGTACATCATGAGGGACGCGGACTGCAGTTATATAGTGGCCGCTTCGTTTACCGGCTCACCCTCTCCCCCCACAAGACTTTTTTTTTTACTCCTGGATGGCCGACGCGGCTGCTCAAAAGAAAAAAAGCCAGCTTTCTCTGCAAGCTGGCTCTCCCCCAAGGATGATTCTCAAGCAGAGGGAAAGCCAGCCTGCAGAGCTAAACAGCGCTCTTTGCAGATCGGTCCATGGGGAGACGCTGCAATTTTCGTTCGATGTAATTGCATTTTTCGCTATGCATTTTTATTGCAGCTACCAGTGCATTTACAAATGGTTTAAGGGCACAAGGTAAGTCCTATACTCCCCATGCATTTGAGGCCATGCTGAGGAACAGTTTTCTCGATGACTATTAGGAGTGTTTCTGTCATGCATATATCATTTTGTTTGAAATATTGTGTTTTATCCACTGATCTAGAATTATTTGAACCAATCTAAAATACGTTTTTCTTAATATTTTTTTTTATTCTAGTACTGAAATTTCAGTTTTTTCATCTATTAAAAACTTTGTAACTCAAAAACTGCTAGGTGCACACTTTTAATTTTAGTTCAGTATTTTTGAACACCCTTGTATGTGGTAGGAATAAAAAATCAACCCTCTATAATGTCAGGTTAAGGAAAAAATGGTACTTATGTACTAAAAAACACTGTTTTGAGATAATTGAGTTTACAGTAAAAAAACTGGTGAATAACGAATTTCTATTGGCACTAACAGCCTTACAGTCATTTTTTCAATAGCCGCTAGCTTGAAAGGCATCGCTAAAGTCATATCTTCGCCTTTAGGCTTATCGCCTTGCTTGCCGAGCCTCTTTTGTGACCTGCCATGTCGCTTGGTCCATAAAGTATATTAGAGTGATGTCAACTTCCCTCAGCCACTTGATGGCTTTCCAAACAGGGTTCCATCCACAAAACTTCAAAACATTGGCTAGTGCAATGCTGCCACCATTGAATAAAGGAACAGCATTCAATGGCGCCATTTTGTCGTTATGAAAACACAAACACTTGAATGTACACACGTTACACACTTGGGAAAAACGTGCACAGCGTCTCGTGATTGTCTTGGTTGAAAAAAAGCTATGCAATAGTTTCTAAATATTTTTTTAGATTATCTGTTACTGGACAAGCTTTTAGGTCTTGTGTTGATTTTGTTTTGTTGGAGAATTCATCGATAAACAGGGAGTGTATCCCAAAAGGAGGCGTAGTCACCTGCTACTTGCTTTCGGAAGAAGTGATTTTCAGCCCGAAATATAGCTTTACAAAAACACTGGGACAATGGAAAATGTGCAGAAAGAACTAAACTTTTCAAATTGCGAAAAAACCAAAATTGATTTTTTTTTTCAAGTTTACCTTACCATGTGCCCTTAAATTAACCGGGTTCGATAATATAAGGTTTGACTGCAGATCGAACATCGTGGCCTCGCTCCCAGTGAGCAAAGAAAGCGCTGCACCCCAAGTGGCATTTTTCCTGCTCTGTCCACATTCACCTTGTCTGACCTTTTAGTGCCTCTCACTGTACATGTGTGCTGCACAAGGCAAAATCAACAATAAGTTCATAAAAATCTCAAATTATAGTAAATCATAACTCACACTATACAAACATTATGTCTGCCATTAAAGTTGCGACGAGTCACACGCAGCTCATCTACAGCGTGTGACTCGTCGCAACTTTAATGGCAGACCAACTACACGCTGTATAAATATCCCCATAACCAAATTTTTTTTTTGTTGTTCAGAGCTAAGCACAGCAGCCACAACAGGTGCTGTGCCCTTCCAGGTTGATCAGAAATACCCACCTGGTGTGGTAGGGGCTGTTTTCCCACCACACCCTCCTAGACGAGACGCCTGCAGGCTTGCCCTGACACACCCTTGTCGCAGAGCTCCGCAGGCTCCCACAGCGATCGGCTGACCATTCTGAGAGAGCGGCCAGGAGTGGCAGCCTTTTCCACGGCGTGTGTAAATGCTGCTTCTCGCATTTTGATGCCAGGTCCAAGATGAATCTGCAGTGAGTAACACTGTCAAGAAAATGCACAAAAAGTGGAGAAATACAGGCAACACAAATGGACTCTCCACTTTCGTCTGCAATCATGTTCCTGCTTTGTTTCACTGAAATGCTGAACTACAGATATATATAAAAAAATGAAATAAATTAAAGGGGCACTCTCCAGTATTCCAGGATGGCCTATTTCTGTTCCTTACTCAACCTATGTGCTCTAAGCATCCCACAAGTCCAAAACTTACTATCTTGTGTGGCCTATTTCACCATTAAAAAATGTGATCAAAGATAGCGAATGCGGTTGAACCGAATCAAGGTGAATAGGGTGGAACGGCGAAAGACACTTGTCAGTCAATTGCAAGCGAGGGCCTCTTGTGCAGACGAGCAGGGCTGGTTGGCTGCTTGTCCGGACGTGAAGCTATCGCTTGTGATTGTCTGATGAGCCCCGTTCGTTCCTCACCTACATTCGGCCGGGTTCAGTGCCGCCATTTGTATGTCTGAGATTGGCTATCTTTTATCACATTTTTATTACTGAACTAAGCTGCACATGATTTAAACTTAAATATCTGGGATGCTTAGAGCACATAGAATGTGTTACGGCCATAAATAGGCCGTCTTAGAAAGCTCCCGAGCGCCCCTTTAAGAGAAGTAATTTCAGCTTTGGAATATGCATTAAGAAAGGAGGTCCATTATTGCTGTACACATCAAATACTAATAATGATATAAAAAAATTGTTTCATGAAAGCTTGACTTTAATGAACCATTTGACAATTTTTAAATTCGACATCGCCAAGTATGAAAGAAGTATACTGCTGTGCACTCCCATGTTTTGTACGAATATTTGCAACCTCGGGCAGCCGAGCAATGTGAATAAAAAACAAAAAACCTTTGGCTCCACTTCATGACAAGACATGAAAAAGAAAACACGAATGAGTGTGCTATTACCAAAGCTCACTACCCTCCCTTTCTGTGTTCCGAAATAGGCATCAATATGTCTCACCAGTCAGCTGCTTATCAGCTGACAAAGAGGACGTGTTTTCCAGAGCTCCTGCGAAGCTAAGCAATATTTGGTGTATTTAGTTTATTTGCGAGTGTGTTTATGGGTACTAGAAAGCACTTTTTAAAGTAACGATAGGATAGGCTTGCTTGTTGGATCTGCTTCATTGGTGTTGTTGCGCGGGCACACCCCATTGGGGTTGATCCTCCAGGTTTACCACCCTGCTGTAAAGCATTTTTGCTCTAACTCTGGTGGTTTTATGAGGTAGCAGAAAGCAGTTTTTAAAGTAGCGATAGGATAGTGGGGTTACAGCAGGCTTTTTAGGTAGGGTCACAAGACCAAACCACCTGCACGTTTGAAACTTTTGGCGGGCTAGTTGGTTTTGTGGACAGAGACGTTACCCAGGCTTTTTTGGTTTTGGTGCGATATTTTTCGTGGGGTCGCGCTGTGTGTCCGTAGGCAATGGTGAATATGCGAAGGAAGAAAAATGCGCAGGCTAATGTAAAAGGGGGACCTGATGTAGGATCTGAAGAGTGTGGCCGTTGGTGCTGCATGATGGAGTTGGAGCTCAAAACTGTAACAGATGCCGAAGAGAGCAACTTTACCTGCCGGAGTTGCGAGAAGGTAGAACTTGGTTTTGGGAGAATAGGAAGGGAATGGGCGGATACGGTTCAGGAGTCGAAGTGGGAGATACGGGTAGAGCGGGAGAAGCGGGTTCAGCTCGAGGCGCAGGTCGGAGATATGAATAAGAGGGGCGAAGCGGATGTGGTGGAGATGACCAGGGAATGGGAAAGTAAGGTAGGGAGCGTGGCGGGAGAGCTGAGACGATAACAGGAACAGAGAGCCGAGGTTGAGCGACAGGTAGGGGAGCTTAGGGGAAGAGTGGAAGGCGGAGTGGGAAGAGCATAAGAAGAAGTATGAGGAGATGGTGCAGCAACTGACAGGAGTAGTTAATAAGAAAAAGGGTGAGGTGGCAGAGAAGACGGCGAGGGGGGGGGCAGACAAAGGGGGCCAGTTAAATAGTGACGAGGGGATTGACTGTGTAGGAAAGGAGCCTGCACAGCTGTATAGTACTGCAGTACAGCAGGGCTTGAGAAAGGCAGCAGAACTTGAGGCAGAGAAAGCACAGAGAGCTGGAGGGGGTGAAGACAGGCAGTCGGGGGTTAAGAGGGTGCTGGTGGTAGGAGACTCATACATAACAAGGGTTAAGGAGGGGCTGCTGGACAGGGTGAAAGGGGATGGGAGGGTAACCGTATGGCTCAGTCAGGAAAGCGCATGGTAGATGCTATGGCCAAAGCGAAGGTGGAGGTGTGGAAAAACAGGGAAGGAGAGAACCTAGTGTTTGTACACGCAGGACTAAATGATGTGTTAAAGGGACGGAGCCAGAACCTCGCCAGGCAGATAGAGTTGGGGTTACGTAAGCTGAGGGAGGTCTCTGAGACTGTGCATGTGCAAATATGCACCGTCCCTGAGGTCTGGGGACAGTCTTTGCAGACAGAGAAGTGGGTGGTGGAAGCTAACGGGGTGATAAGGGGGTTGAGCCGACGATTTGAGTATGGAGTAATGAAAGTACACAGGGCGGTGTACGAGGCTCGCTCCGACCCTTTTGAAATGGGAATCCACTACGTGGAACCACTGGGAGCACGGCAGGCGATAGGATTGGATGCCACATCATACATTTTTTGCGGAGCCCCGGAGCCCTGAGGGCGCCGGTGTAAATGATGGCCAAAATGTAGATACAGGAGGGAGTGCTTGGGAGGGTGAGAGGAAGCTTGCAGGACTAGGAAAAAGAAACAGCTTTCATAAACATGCAGGAGGGCAGGAACAGAATAAAGTGGGAGGAGATTGAGGAGCGATTAGAAAGCGACAACTTTGCAGGGTATGGATTAGCAGAAACACATCTCAGGCATATGGAAGAACCACCATACATACCGGGATATCATTGGATGGGATGCAACCGGGCCAATGGGGAACGCAAGGGAGGGGGATTAGGGGTGTTAGATAAGGTTCAGGGATGGGAAAGGGAACAAGAGGGCTGCAGGAAACACATGTGGGTCAAAGGCAATATTGAGCGTTTGGACACAACCCTGGGTTTTGTTTATCTAAAAACAGGCGGTGATGCAGGGGAGGAAAATGCAGAACACTTGACATGTATATCAGGAGATGTTAGGGAAATTGGCACTAGAAAGGAAATAATTATCTTGGGGGACGTGAATGCATATTTGGAAGACTTTGATGGACATACAGATACAACAGGGAGGATGTTAGAGGCGTTCTGCAAAGGTTAATGGGTTAATGGGTTAACGCTCAGGTGAAATGTGATGGAAAAATAGCATGGGAAAGAAAGAACTCGCACTCGACTATTGACTACTGTTTAATGTCACGTAAAATATACAACAGATTAGGAGGTATGTAGGTCTAAGGTCTGGGGAGCGATCATAAGAGAATCAAAATCAGATTTGGCACAATAAAACCAGAAATGCAAAATCAAAAACAAGAGGGTAGGAATAACTTAAATGTTAACCAGTTACAAGAGGCATCTAAGCAGATTGAGAACATTGTATCCAAGCAACCGGAAAGAGAATGGACATATGAAGACTAAGTGTTTTCAAAAGAGAGTTAGAGAAATATTGAATCAAACAAGGATGAAGAAAACTAAAACGCAAGCCCAAAAGCTGGTGGGATAAAGAGGTTAAGGCAGCAATATCGAGACGCCAAGCGGCATCTAAAGAACACAGATGGGCAAAGAAAAAGGGGGCCACACTAGCCGAAGTAGCGACAAAATGGGAGGAATTTCTGGAAAGAAAGCAGGAGGCATTAGCATTAATACAGGCCAAAATTGGGAGAGCAGGGGTCCAGTGGATGGTAGAGATAAGCCAAAAGGATAGGAATGCGGCAAAAAGATTCTGGAAACACATCAGTGCACAGGGAAAAATGACCGAGGCGTACCAGCAGGCACTAACAACACAGGAAGGGACAAAGGTAGAAGGGGATGAGGCAGGAGAATACATTAAACATACAATCGAAGCAGTATTTTCGGAGTTAGAATCAAATCAGGTCGTAGGGAATGGTAGCGTCTACAGAACACACGCGGAGGATCATAGTGAGGAAGAGGAAAGGACCACAGAGGAATGGGAAAAAAGTAGAAGGAAAGGTTCTGGCTGGCACTGAAAGAGGTCCAGACGGCATACCAATGAGATTGATAAAAGTTCTAGGCAAAACAAGCAAATTGAAACTAAGGCAGGTGATTGACCAGATACTTATGGGAGGGAGGTACCCAGCGGACTGGAAATTGAGCAGGATGAGATTATTATATAAGGGCAAGGGAGAAAAAGAGAGTGTCAAATCATACCGACCAATCACAGTAACTTCAGAAATATACAGACTAGCTATGCAAATTGTAAAAAGAAGAATGGAAGAATGGGCAAAGAGAAAACAGATTCTGGGGGAGCTTAAATGGTTTCACGAAAGGTAGACGACTGGATGAAAATTTATTCATAATCACTCAGTGCATAGAGATAGCAATGACAAGTCAAAGGCCATTATGGGTAGCATTTTTAAACATCAAAGGGGCATATGACAATGTGAATCAGGAAAAACTCTGGAACCAATTGAAGGGATATGGGCTAGAGGGAACCACGGTTAAGTTTCTAGAATGGGTTTATACGGAGAATAGGGGTGATTATAACATGGGAAGCCGAAACTACAAGACCAGCAGCAATAAAAAGATATCTCAGACAGGTTTGGCCATTGTCTCCCCTGCTCTTTATGATATACCTCAGTGAGATGGGAAAAAGTTAGAACAGTGCAACCTAGGTTTTGATCTGACTAACATGAAAGAAGGACATAAAGTAAATCAAATATTGCCACGGTTAATGTATCAGACGACACTGAACTAGTATCAGAAAGTCGTGACACAATACGGGAACTCATCAGGATTTGCAGCAGAGAAGGGGACAATTTAAGACTAAAATTTAGTAGGGACAGGTCGGGTATAATCGCAGTCGGTTATAAAGACGAGAAGGGGGAACCCCTTGAGATAGAGGACACATTGATAGAACACATAGAAAAGTACAAATATCTGGGACTATGGAACTATAATAGATGTGAAGTCGTTAGGGGTGTAAGGAAGGGAGTCATGGTGCGAGGACTGTGATTTGGGAATACGGTATTGTGTACAAGGTCAGAAATCCAGGCAGGTTTAGAGATACAGCAAAGGAGTGTGGGTCGGTTGGCATTGGGGGCACACGGGAGTACTACAAATGAGGGAGTAGAGGGGGACATGGGTTGGGCATCTTTCGAGTAGAGAGGCGATAAGTAAAGTTAAATTTGAAATAAGACTAGGTGAAATTGAAGGAGACACGGTGGGCAGCGAAAGTGTACAAGTCGCTATATATAAAAAGTCTAAACACTAAGTGGACAAACCGAACCCGCAAGCTGATGTTTAAGTACATTCAACGAGATGGAGCTGATCAGAGCATATCAGAAGAAAAGGGAGTAAAGGAAACAGAAAGGAAATTGTGGGAAGAGAGAATGCAGGGGAAATCAGCTTTAACAATATACAGGGCTTAAAAATAAAAAAATAAAGAAGGAACAGCTGTATGATAATTCAGTGGGGAGCTCTTTGTTGTTTGAAGTTAGAACGGGGGTGCTACGAACGAGAACGTAAAGGGCTAAATTCCAGGAAGTGGACGCTCTGTGCGACGTATGTAACCGCGAAAGGGAAACAATAGAACATGCGCACGGGGCTTCGTCCCACCCTCTTGAGCGGATAACTACGGATTTGGAGGGGGCACTGGGTTTTCTAGACATGGATGGGCAAATGGATAGAGAAAGAATTGAGGTAACTAAGAGGAGATTGGTGGAAAAGATCTAGGGAAGGATAAACAAAATGATATAAATAAGCAATATAATCACTTTAAAAAGGGGGGTGGGGTTGTGTTAGAACAAAATTTATACAATTAAAAAAAACGAAAAAGAAGGGATGACGAAATGTAAGGCTAGGTGGCACAAGCTGCCGCCCGTTACAAAGGGTATAAGCCCTTACCATCCATCCATACTCTATCTTCTTTGCTAGTCTATACTAGTGAAGCGGGCTAGCTTACTAACCTCTGGATAGGTATTATTGGCACTGCTAAACTGTAATATGTGGGACACGGCTACCAGATAGCACTGATGTCACTGTCATCCGCATGTACACTTTTTCAAAGATAGTTCACCTGCTCGTCCTATGGCAAGACTTAAGTATGTTCTTTTATTTTTATTTTTAGAAGGAAAATAGGAATGGAACGAACATCATTTTTTGGATATTTAGGATGCTTAGAGCCTGTCGAATGAGTTATCACCAAGAACAGACAATCTGAGAAACATCTTTAGTGCACCTTTAAGTCAGTACCTGTGTTTGCCTTTTTGTGTGCCTGCCTGTTTGTGTCCTTGTTTTTTCTGCCATTAGTCTGTTCTCCTGAACAAGTCAATGAAGTGAAAACAATAGACAAAATGTCTTGTAGGCCCAGATACGTACCTCACGATCCTGGACAGCATAGAGAGGTGGCCAAGAGGAGGCCACGGTCTCACCAGGTGGAGGAGCCACTGCAGCACAGGATAGCAAATTAAAGGTTAGAGCGACGAGTAACATCAAAATCTTGATTTGTTTATACGCTAGGACATACTGTAGCTGTAATAAAGAAAAAGATAGCCGCACAACATATTCAAAATGACGTGCAATGCAGTATAAAGCACAATATTCCTTCACAACGTCAATCTAGCCCTTTGCTCAGGAGCTATGTTAGTCAAAACATTGAACCCCATTTCTTTGTTGCAGTAATAGCAGGAAGCATGCATATTCCCAAACAAAATGTTTGCTACAGTTGCTAATAGGGTGAGATTTCAGCAATGCATGCCCTCAAAATGTTTCGTAATTTCACTCCACCAGTAAATCACTTTCACTTGTTTTAGGATTTTCAGACCATTAGCAAATCGCTTTAACTTGATTTATGACAATGCAAACCTTTACAGGTAACGTCAGCTCTTTCTTGCGGTACTTTTATTAAGGTAACACAAGGGCTGTGGTCACTACCATTAAGGTGGTATTGTTGCTTATGATGTTGCCGCAGCCAAGCTGCTTTATGCACTTAATAAATGAACACTACCTTTTGAAATCACGCCTTTAAGATAGTATTTATTCATGTGGGATACTGGCAACCTTACCAACTCTCGTTATTACAACTACTCGCCTGTCAGGTAAGCAATGACTGTATCGTGCTACGCTGCATAAAGAAGTCATGAAATTATGTCTTCCATTTGTTGAGTTAAAAGTCTGGCTATAGTGGTATGACAATGTTTTCTTGCCCCTAAAAAAGCGACTTTTGATCCCTCTGCTCCTGTGTGCAAAGAGGGTGAAACACTATTTTCTTAACGGTAGAAGGGCCTGAAGCATGTGAATAACAGTACTGGGCAGAGCCTCTCCTGAACAATCAATTGACTTGCTCCACTAAATTGAGATTGTCACTAACTGCAACTACATTCTCAGCAGTTCAGATTGCAAATACATAATTAGATTTCGGCCCACCAGCACTGTCATCCTGTCAGTAAATTAATATCTGCTTTTATACAGATGAAAAACAAATTAAGATTTGCAACGTACAGTCGGAGGCGTCTTGGGCAACGACTCAGCAGAATCTCGATAATACAAATCTCTTCCCCCCATTCCACTCCACCCACTCCCCTCACTCCAAGTGACCCAAATATTAACCGGCAATGCAATTTGTCACTACGTATTGCGCCATCTAGCGGCTGCAAAATAAAAGACTGGGTAGGCCAGGACAGCCCGGATCGCAAGGACTGCAGGCGGGTGCATTTAGAAACCAAGTGTGAATGTGGCATTTTGGATCGGCGTCAGCCTTTTTGGGAACCGTTCTTCTTAAAAGTAAGTCCCGGCTTCACGTCTCCATGAACCCAGCGGGTTTCTGTAGCATCTTGCCTACTCCTATAGGAGTAGAGAGATGCCACAGGAACCCGCTGGGGTTCGATAGGGTTCCCCCAAAAAATGAATGTCGCTGCTGCTGCGTGAAAGACTGTCACAGTCACGAAGGCGACTCAAGCGTCAAACTATACCGCTTCCCCTCGAGATTTTCGGAAGTGACACGGCAACAGAAGTGGATCACTGCAGTGTGATGCATCAGGTAAGTAAATTCTACAGTAATTGTTGCTGTTGAAGTGAACGAAAATAGATGTGCAGGCTTGGAAAGTGGTCCGACGAACTTGTTTTGCAGACTACTCAGCAAAATAACAGTTTTATACAAGTTGTTCTACGAGTCACTATAGTCCGTTGCAACCTAAGAACGAAGGGCGAGGGTAAGACGGGTCGGGGAGGAGGAAGCAGACGGAACAGTGGAGAAGAGAGGGGAAAACCTCCTTCTCTCTTTAGCGTTCCGCCTGCTTCCTCCTCCCCGGCCCGTCTTACCCTCGCCCTTCGTTCTTAGGTTGCAACATACTATAGACACCACATAGGGAAATACAATAGGAACAATTGGGCCGATTGTTGCTTCGCTGTGACGACCAGAATCAGGCGATCAGGCCTTCAAGAAGCGAGAGGCCCGTCCCGGCAGTCGTAGTTGTATGTGCGCATAGCCGTTCGGCACACGTGCGGTCGTAACCAAAACCTTCCAAACCTGCGAGTTCTCTAGTAGTAAATTTTCGCACCACATAAAGCTTTGTTTGTTTCGGCAACAAAATTTAACGCTGAATCTGGTAACAAATGTGACGGCATGCAGAAAACAGGATGCGTAAGTTTTTCTCTAGAAAAAGCTCAAGTGAAGCGTAAATATCCTTCTCACATGTGCACTTTGTTGCCTGTCACCTTTTCACACCAGGCTTGCATATCACGGTACGGCCATTGTAACGTGCATACTGTTCTCTAGCATGCAGAGTATGTTTCTAATTACTCACATTTTCTAGCCGGGGGCGAGCGCGAGGAAACAGGAAGAGCGTGCCGCACCAGGCTGGGGCCGCGCAGGAACGATGGAGCCGTTCTGGCTGGTCTGGCTCATGGCGACTCCTGGAGCGTTTCGCCAGCGAGGTTCAGATCAGGACCGGCGGAAACGGCGAGCCCTGGCCACACCGACCTAGGCCATGACGATCCCGGAGTGGTTCCGCAGCGAGACTCGGGCTGTGATAGCCCGGAACAGCTTGCCTACGCAGCGCTGGCGTGGGGAGAACGATCCGCAGGCCTGGACACGGACAGCGACTGCGAGCTCTGAATGACGGGCGACAACCCGGCTCGGCGGGCCGCAGTGCCGGCTCTCGAAGACGGACAACTGGGAAGTATTGAGGAGTTTCAGCGACGGTGTCACCGCCCTGGCGGCCGGTCGCCGAAAGAGAACGAGGGGAATAGGTTCGCTGGGCGGTCAGGGCGGTGGCTTTGTGTATATGCGTTGGCCGCGAACGTAGGCTTATAAACTTCGGCAGCAAGAATATTACGCGGCTCTAGTGTTTCGGTACGAGCAACAGAGGTGACACGATCTGCTACGACCAGCTACGACCACCCGCCGCAGCGATGCAGGCGTCGAAGGAGCGCAACCTGTGTACTACGCAGTCAGCCGCTGTCGCCCGACGCAGATCGTTCGGCATTCAGGGCTTTCCGCCCCGGGTTCTTCGCTTGTACTTGGAACCGAGTATTATTTCCTGTGCTTGTGTATGTGCTCAGTGGCTGGATATGGACCTCATAGAGCAGTTCTTCAGACTCAACAGCGATTCAAAGTTGACGGCGGAAGGGCTTGCAGCAACGCTTTCGGTTGGTGCACGGCTGCGACGACTACACGAATAAATTTTAAGATTGCTGCTAGCAAGGTGGGCCATAGTCGCTTTATGTTGAGACGATTTTGAGTGTAAGTACTCCGTGCAAAGGCGAATCTATCGCGTTTCTAATCCACCTTTGTTTTTGTTGTTTTTAGCACGCACGACCGACTGCTAAGCAAATGCTTCTGTACCGATCACGGAGTGAGTGTCTTCGGCCTTACATTGCGGAACGCCCAATAAAAAGTCATATTCGTTCAGCGAGAAAACTTCCCTTTCGGGTGACCTTCTGATTGGTAATTTCTCCCGTACTTAAGTGCTTTAATCAACACGATCGATTAAGTTTGCTTCCCTAGTTAGGACATTTTTGTGCTACATGCGGCACTAATGCTTGGCACGATGTATGCCACTGGTGGTATTGTGAATTGGTTTACTTTGTGGGAGCCACTGGTTTCCCTCCCCCGAGAAGGCGTAAGCCGAGAACGCTCCGGGCGAAGCCGTTTGACTTCGAGCCCGGTCGCTCCGTATCGTGTCGGAGAGACTACGTCACCATGCTGACCTACTCTCTCGCACTCCTCCGCGCGTCTCCCCGATTTCGGGGGAACAGCGACATCGCGGGAGAGAGAGTGGGGCCTGCCCTCCGAGTGGACGGCGGTGTGGTCGAGGAGTCCTGGATTGGACTCCGGGCAACGGGTCGAGTCGCGGCGCGAGCATCGTCCGACCGGCGATGACTCCACGCTAGTGATTCCCCGGGCTCTGACAGATCGGCGTCCCCACAACCTGTGGACGTCCGTCTGCCGAGAGCCCTGGCCCCGGACTCCTGCGACGACGGGTAGCGGCGTGAGCTCGTCCGACCGGCGATGACTCCGCTCGCCATTACCCCTTTGGCTCTCAGGTCGGCGGGCGATGCGGGCACACTGTGCGCGCGGCGGCTCGCTTGACCGCAGTGTCTTGTTGGGGACCCCTGGTACTCAATAAACGCTGTTGGATACCGGGATCATCGTTGTTGGCATGGCGTTGGCCAAACCCGGCGCGGCGACCGCCCTCGCTGGTAGCCGTCGGCCGCGCGGTGGGACGGGTAGCGGATTTCCCCTTTGAGCACCGGACCGATCTCCGGACGTGAAAGGTGCGTAATCTTCCTTCCTTACGTAATTCCCACAAAATGGCGCCCAACGTGGGGCCACGGCACCTATCGTTGTCGTGGCACTGCTATGCCGCGCCATGCCAAGATGGCGGAGCCTCCCTTGGGGAGGCCGGCTCCCTTTGTGAGCCGCCATGATGCGAATCCCATCGGTGCCCGGAGTTGGGAACCACGTCCAAGAGCCATCCCGGAAACCTGAGTGAGTCACGATTTGTTCATTCTTTTTTTGTGTCTTGCCGCAGGAGACGCTTTATCGTACCTGTCCCCTCTGGTGATGGGCGTCGCTAGCAACTGTCCCCCCACTGCCTGACAGTTGCCAACTCCGCTGCCAACCCCCACCTAGTTAGAAGGTCGTCACCTCTGGCGGCGTCCTCAGAGCCTCCCTGCCACGGAAATCCCGTTGCATTGACCCCCGTGGGCCTAGCGACGAATGTTGTTAGCAGCAAAGAGCTTCTCACGGGTCAGCGGGACAATCTGGGTTTGTAAATACGCGCGTTTCTTTGACACTGAGTTGTCGGACTCTCCGGGAGAGTCGGGCGGTGCGTCTGCCATTAACGTGGCCAAGTAGCTCGTAATGCTACCGACGGGCTCCGGGAGCCGTAGGCCACGCATCCGCCGGCGTCCAGAAGCAGTTCTCAAACTGTGGACGCGCGCGCTGTATGCCACTTGTATTGTGGTTGGCGCGAGGGTTTTCTTCGGGATAGATTGGTTTCGCTGACACCTTTGAGCTTCTGCTGATTTCCGAGAGTAATGGCTTTGCTTTATAAGAATGGCACAACGCACTAGAGACGGGGCGGCTTTTTAGCTACCCCGTTCCGTGCGCTTCGCTAGGGATGCGTGCAGCTCGAAGACTCTACGGAGTTAGTTGTTTTCGCAGTCCCCGGCCCGGCTCCTGGTGCAGCCAACGCTGGCAGCGGAGAGTCGCCGGCTCAGTTCCCGGCGACTTCAGTTTGCGTACGCAGGGTGCCCTCTAATTCTGTTAGTAGCACCGCGTGGCCTGCCTTCCAACTTGAGCCTCCCACCCTGCGGTAGGCCGGTTAATGTACGCAGGCAGCCGAGTCCAGATACAATGAGGACCCGGCCAAAACCTGTTTTTGGGGACCATTGCCTCCCCTCGGTGTCAGTGTGTCGACCGAGAACAATGATCTCTCCCTTCGACCTTGCCATACTGCGGGTCTGGAGAGGGCGAAGAGATGTTTGCGGGGTGCTGCGTGGGCTCTTCTTTCCGTCATTCAGGAAGATGCTCGTGCCCCCCCTCTTCCCTGCCATCCCCCACTACGTGCGACGGCGGGGAACACGCCGAGCGGCTGGGCGGGACCTGCCGGATGTGCGTCATCGCTAGCGCTGCCGGGACTTTGCGCACCCGCGGCGGCCGGGAACAGCAGACGGGGAGGCTGACTTCCGGCCGGGGCAAGATGGCCACTGTCGTCCTTCTGTCGTCGGACAGCCTGACCCCACCGAGGCACTCAGCTGAACCAGGCTTCCTGATGCGGGCCTAGTCACGGACGTCACTTGCTGCCGGCCCCGGGGTGCGCCTTCGACTTCGGTGGCCAGCGTTCCCCTTGCCGCTGGTCTCCCGCACCCATCTTGAGAGTGACCATGGGCGGACTTCTACGCGTGTCACCGTGTTCGTTTCGACGGAGGTTGGCCCACGACGAGTCGAGGACGTGCAGCGTAGGCCGAGCGGCAGCACTGAGCAGCACCGCCGAGCATCAGCGTTCCCAGTGAGTGGTGCTCCGTGTGGCGGAAGAACTGATCTGTCGGCATCGAGGAACTTTGCACGGCTTCATTCTGCGGCACCGGTGCATCGCCCCAGCGGAGCGTCGTGAATTCCGGTATGTGGAACATTTACGGCAGCGGTTCCGGGGGCTACCAAGGCCCCCGTTCTTTTTATTTGTAAGCGCGACTGGCACCCGTGCTGTCAGCGCGCAGGCCTGTATTTTGGGGGTTTGAGAGCCGGCGCCCCTTTCTCTGAAAGGGGTGCCAAATGTTTTAAGGAGGGGGGGATTGTGGGAGCCACTGGTTTCCCTCCCCCGAGAAGGCGTAAGCCGAGAACGCTCCGGGCGAAGCCGTTTGACTTCGAGCCCGGTCGCTCCGTATCGTGTCGGAGAGACTACGTCACCATGCTGACCTACTCTCTCGCACTCCTCCGCGCGTCTCCCCGATTTCGGGGGAACAGCGACATCGCGGGAGAGAGAGTGGGGCCTGCCCTCCGAGTGGACGGCGGTGTGGTCGAGGAGTCCTGGATTGGACTCCGGGCAACGGGTCGAGTCGCGGCGCGAGCATCGTCCGACCGGCGATGACTCCACGCTAGTGATTCCCCGGGCTCTGACAGTCGGCGTCCCCACAACCTGTGGACGTCCGTCTGCCGAGAGCCCTGGCCCCGAACTCCTGCGACGACGGGTAGCGGCGTGAGCTCGTCCGACCGGCGATGACTCCGCTCGCCATTACCCCTTTGGTTCTCAGGTCGGCGGGCGATGCGGGCACACTGTGCGCGCGGCGGCTCGCTTGACCGCAGTGTCTTGTTGGGGACCCCTGGTACTCAATAAACGCTGTTGGATACCGGGATCATCGTTGTTGGCATGGCGTTGGCCGAACCCGGCGCGGCGACCGCCCTCGCTGGTAGCCGTCGGCCGCGCGGTGGGACGGGTAGCGGATTTCCCCTTTGAGCACCGGACCGATCTCCGGACGTGAAAGGTGCGTAATCTTCCTTCCTTACGTAATTCCCACAACTTCCAAAGCTAACAGTGTGACAGGTGGGACCATTCAATTTGCTAAAAATGTGATATGGGAATTTCGTTGCATAACTAGCGTTTCACGTTTAAGATTGATAAGAAACATGCTCATGTGATAATGCATGTCTACAGCATAAGCTTTGCAGATCCAGAATAGATGTGCTATAGGCTACAGCCTCAAGATTTTTAATGGACCAAATTGGTGATTACACGGCAATAAATATTGTGGTGAAAAACTGCCCATTGACTCGGTGAGTTTTGATTGTGACCATTGGTGTGCTGTTGGCAAATTAGATAATGGCACACCTTTTC